AATTTCATCTGTCTCTATCCCTCTCCCTCCCTCCCTCTGTCTCTGTCTGTCTCTCTGTCTCTCATCTATTTAACTAACATGAGCCCTTGGTATGGCCTTACATTACAGGAAGTATAATATTTTCCAACCTTGTAAACCCAAGCATTTAAGGGGGGGAAAGAGGGAGCATTGTTTGCCACACAAACAAGACCCAGGGTTTCTCTCCTGCCCCTCTTTTCTCCCAGATCCTAAATTCTGAGCTGACTGCGCTGTCCAAGGCCTCCCATCTAATGCCCCTGGCCATTTCTTGGGTTTTATTCTCTGCGGCTTCTGACACTGGAGACGTTCCCTTTTCCTCTGGCTTTGCTCCTCTCCCACTCTCTACCCCCTTCTGCTGCTAAATGGACCATCCCCCCTCACATGGGGGCCCCTCAGGGCTTTGTCCTGAGCTCTCTTCTCCCTCCAAGCCCTCTGTCTCCAGGAATCCAAGCATCTGTACCCCGATGGCCTGGAATCTGCATTTCCAGCATTAATCTTTCTCCAGAGCTGAGTCTTGCCATCAGTTGCAGACTGAGCATCTCCTTCTGAGGGGTCTCAAACTCAATATGACAAATCATATTTTAACCTCTCTGTGCTTCAGGCAGCTCTGTAAGCCTCTGAGTAGCAGAGAGAGGCTGCCCTGTGTTGGTAAAGTGAGTTTCCTCTTCAGGGAATGCCTTATGGCGGTGACCTCTCAACTCCAGTCCTCTCCCTCTCCCTTCATGGGCATCTCAGGGGCCAGCACCTCCTTTATCCTGGGTCAACAGCGAAGACACGGAGGCTCAGCTCCTGGGGGGACCCAAGCCCCATGTCCTAACTCCCTGGCCCGGGCCCTGGGCGCGTTAGCTTGTCACCGAGTCCCAGAATTTCTGAGCTATCGTGTTAAAGAATAATAAAAAAAACTGGCATCTCCATAGCTCTTTAAGATTTGCAAGTGAAAATGATGTCTATTATCTCAATTGGCTCTCCCAAAGCTTGTGAAGCAGGGAAACCCAGCATTTTAATGTCCATTTTACCGGTGAAGAAACTGAGGCCAAGAGAAACTGAGAGCCTGTACCATGACTACCCAGCTAGCAATTATCCAGGCAGTATTTGAACCCATGATTGGCAGTATAGTACCCTGAAGAGGCTCTGTGAGATAAGGGGAAGCTTAGTCACTGAGGACCCAGCTCAGCTTGAAGGTGGGACAGTCGGGGTGGCCTCAGGGCAGGCTCCAGAGGTGGCATCTTGGGGGCACGGGGCACACTCTCCCTCTTGTTAAGAGCTATGTGGGTCCCATGTAAATGCAGGGGTTTTGTATGAATGGGGTCCCCAGAAGAGTCCTGGGTCATGTCAAAATGGAAAAAAGTGCTATATCAGATTGCAAGTCTTCTGGGGGAGGGAGGCGGGAAAGGAGGGGCCAAAAAATTTAAAACTCAAAAGCTTACAGAAGTGACTGTTGATCAAGCAGAATAAATTAATAAAATACTTTTTTGTTAAAAAAAAAACAAAGTGGAAAAAAATGAGCAGAGGACAATTCCCCAAAGTAGGAGCTGCTCCCCAGGACCCTGGCACTGTCAGGGGTAGCTCTGGGATGGTTCTCCCTGAGGGGGGAGGGATGAATCACCACCAGCCTCATTTCTGACACCCACCCCCCAAGGGCACAGAGTAGATGGATCTTCCCTGAGGAGGCCTGGGAAGTGTGAGGCAAAGGTGGCTTCAATGAGATAACACTTTGCAATCCTAAATGCATGCCATATAAATGCTATTCTGATGGTGACTGTGTGCTTGGGGGCATGAGACCTCAGCTGCCCCCTGACCCATCTGCATCCCTTAAGCCCAGCAGTCCCCAGGCATCTACTTGGAGGGCCCTCAGTAGACCTGCACCAATTAATCAATCACACTTGTTGAGTGGTTATTACGTGCCAGGCACTGTGCTAAGTGCTGAGGACCCAAAATGGGAGAGGGGAAGGGGAGACAGTCCCTGCCCTACCCCTGAGCAGCCCATGACCAAAGAGATACTTCTAAACATTAGGAAGTTTTTCTGACAATAACTTGAACTGGCCTCTGTGTAACTCCACCTGGTTCTGAGCCCAGCAGAACCAGGCTAATCCTTCCTGCACAGGGCACCCCAACTCTCATGTTCCCCTTGAGTCTTTACACCCAGTTCCTTCCACTGATCCGCCTACAAGGAGCCTGGTCCCCGGGACCCTCCCCATCCTGGTTACCCTTCTCTGGACACTCTCCAGCTCAACGGCCTTCCAAAGATGGGCAGTGCTCCTGAGTAACCTCTGGCACCCTGTCCAGAGTCCAGGGCAGAGTGGGCAGAGGTGAGGCAGGGGGCAGGCAGGTAGCTAAGTACCAAGCCAATGCAGGTACCCAAGGGACTTGGCAAGAGGGAAGTAGGGCCAGGACAGAGGCATGGGGACCCATGTTGCAAGAAGGAAATCATTCCTAACGTAGTTCTAAAGTTTCCTCAGGCAGTCATAGAAGCATCTTAGATCCAGAGCTGGAAAGCTTGAGTTCAACCCCCTCCTTTTTACCAGTGGGAAAACTGAGGAAGCCCAGAGACGTGCCATAACTTGTTCAGGGTCATACAGCCAGCAGTTGTTGTCTGAATCAGGATCTGAACCCAACTCTCTCCCCACTCCAGGCCCAGGCTCCTTTCTTCCAGGGACCAATGTCAGCTAAAGGGGGAAAGTGAAAGAAATACCACTTACCTCCAAAAGCCACAGAGACTTTACTGAATGTATCTGCTGAGGACAGTAAGAAAATTCAGTTAAGTCCAAATAGCCTCTGGGGCCCCACTGGTCAGTGTACTGTGGTATCTGGGCCACACCCTGGGCATTCTGGCCCAGGCCCTCTGGGCCTGCCTGGCCAGAGAGATGAGCTGAGCTGGGCTTGCTGTGCTGACCCAGGGAGGCTGGACAGGGAAAGGCAGGGAGCAACAGTCCTGGGATGGCAGTGCTGAGGGTAGGGGTAGCAACAAGGAAGCCAGTTCAAGTCTTTATTTGATGGGATGCATCTGAAGAACAGTTGGTGGGAAGAGAGATGAATTTGGAATCCCAGCCCTGCCCTCTGCCACCTGTGCGACCTTGGACAAATCTGAGCCTCAGTTTCCTCATCTGTAAACACGAGGGTTTTCTAAGTCCCTCCCAACCCTCTTCTCTGAGGCCCCTTTGGTTTCTGAGAGTCTGTGTGAGTTTGGAGAAATTTCTCCCCAGTTCATCCTCCTCTGGAAAATGGGGACAGCAGCACCTGTCCTTTGCCTACCGTGTTGTTGTGAGCACAGCTCTCTGGAAGCCTGTAAGTCACATAAAATTGGGAGTAAGCTCAGGATTGTCCCCCATGTGGCCATGTCCTGGCTGCCAAGCAGGGATTCCCTCCCACCTGGCCTGCTTTTCCTCAGAAGAGACTTCCTGCTGAGGGAGCATCTGCCCAGCTCTGAGATCCCCTGGACCTCAGCCTCTCCCCACCCCTCTTCTGTCCTGTCCCTCTCCTAATTCTGGCCTAGCAAGTCCCAGCTGTGCTTCAGGAGGTTAAAAAGCCACTTCATCCATCACAGACTGAGTCATCTAGAGGAAAGTGAGGCCCAAAGAGGCCCAGGCAGTGATTTGTCCAAGGGAATCCAAGGGGTAATCTGTTTTACTTTTCCCAAGTTCCCAAACCGTCCAAAGGTCCTGATGGTTCCTTCCCAGCCCAATCAGGTTTGTTAGTCACCCCTGACTCCTCCCACCTCCCCAGGGCTGTCCAGAAGCCCTTAGGCAGATGACCAGTCAAGGCAAGAGGGCAGGACAGCCCCTCTCCTCCCAGCCTGGTTCCCCTCATTGTCTGACTCCTTTTCCTCTTCGAAGATGTGTCCACTTTGGTCTGATTCCACCTGTGTCAGAACACTGGGGTGAGCACCCTGGGCTCTGCCCAGGTAGGTCCGTCTCCCCCCCTGGAGGCCCTAAGGCTGTATCCCCTCTAGTCCCTTTCCTGTTCAGCCTCTCATCATGAAATGAAAACAACCCTCAGAAGGAAGATAACCCAAAACTCAACCAGGAAGGCAGAGGGATTCTTTGTGCCTGTGTCCGTCAGGATAAAAAGAGCAATAGGGCCATCTTTCTTCTGCTGGTGTTGGGGCTGTAGGGGTGCTGGTACCCCAAAATTCAAGGGCAAGTGACGAAGGTCCTGCCACAAATGAATTCAACCCAAGCCTTCTTTCAGTCAAAGACACGGGTCAGGGGAGTGAGATTCCAAGAATCCGAGCTACTGGCCTGATTTTAAGAATCTGAGCCTTTGTAATGGTACTACAACCCAGCTAGGCTCTTAAGATGTCTAAGCCATCTAATGGGGGCAAGATGGACACTTCTACACAGCAGGTTGGGGAGACCTGGATGTGGTCTAGGAGCTGCCAATAGCTTGGGTGACCGGGAGGTAACAGAGAAGGATCCGCAAGTGCCAAGCGCCTCAGGCAAACGCCAGAGACCAGGGCCTGTGGAAGGGGTCTTGGGTGGGGCCAGTTGCAGACAAGGAGGGACACAATGAAGGGGCAGTGACTAAGTGGGAAGGGCTGGGTATCCCAGGCAAGCTCAGGGACTTGGAGCATGTGGGATAGTCCAGGGGCTTTTTCTTTTTGAGGTCCAGATCCCAAAGACACAGTCTTTTCCTTTAAAGGGTTCAGATCCCATCCCCATCACTGGGTTGTGACCTTAATTATTAAATGACCATAAGAAAGCTTGGGGATGGGCTCACAGACACTGACACTGAGCCAATATTAATAGGTATGGCACAGAATACAAGGATGGTGCATCCCTGTCCAAGCTCAGGAAACCTGCTAAGAAAAGCCCCAAGGGGAGAAAGGGAGGAAGAGGGAGGAGGAGGAGGAGGAGGAGGAGAGGAGGAGGAGGAGGAGAGGAGGAGGAGGAGGAGGAGGAGGAGGAGGAGGAGGAGGAGGAGGAGGAGTCACTGGCCTGACCCAGCGTCCAGGTGAGATGCCTCCAAGCACGGCACACTTTACCTTGGGACAGCATCACTAGTACCCTTTATTTCTTGGTTTCTTAGGAAACACTCTCATTCGGCTGGAGGAGCTCTCCAGAGCCGCAGTGTGGGACGGTCTCTGGCCTCTCTCTAGTCCCCTCCACCCAGGGCATTAATGGAGACAGTGACTTGGACTGAGCCGCAGCTTGATTTCAAAACCCATTCCTGAGTGGAATTGAAAGTTAGGCCCGGGGTGCAGGAGGTCTGCCTGGGGGACAGCTGCACGCGGAGCCATCGACAGACCGCTAGGTCACACGCAAGCACCACCGTCCCCTCCGGGTTGCTGTAGGTGCACCTGGTGGGGGCTCGATCCTCCGCAGGCAAGTCCCAGCTGCTGCCTGACTCCTCCTCCTTCTCCACCAGGAAAGGTCGGAACCTGTAGTGCTCCAGGGGCGCGGGGCACACCAGCTGCTCCGCCTGCAGCGCCGGCAGCACCTGGCCCTTTAAGTACTGGGGGCTGGCGCAGTAGGTCTGAAGGTTGAAGAAGCGGTCGATGTACTCTTGCAGCCACTTTAGGAGGTAGGCCAGGTGGCAGTCGCAAGCCCAGGGGTTGCCGTGCAGGGCCAGGTTGAAAAGCTCGAAGTTACTGTCAAAAATGCCGTCGGGGAGGCTGGTCAGCGAGTTGTCGGCGAGGCTGAGCAGCTGCAGGCGCGTCAGGTTCTGGAAGAGCTGCCTGTCCAGGGCTGTCAAGTTGTTGCTGGCCAGGTAGAGCTTGGTGAGGCTGGGCGCGGTCGAAGAGCCCGGGAGGAAGGCTGCGCAGGCTGTTGTGCGACAGGGTGACGACGCTGAGCTGGGGGGAGTTTCTGAACGCACCCCCGGAGACGTTCTCCAGCCGGTTGCTGGACACGGACAGCCTGGCCAGGTTGGGCGTCTGGTCGAAGAGGCCTCCGGGGAGCACCCGGAGCATGTTCCCTTGCAGGTTCAGGAAGGTCAGGTTGCCCAGGGAAGAGAAGACTGTCGGGGGGAGGTGGTCGATGGCGTTGTGCTGCAGCCAGAGCTTCTGCAGGGCACCCAGCCCGGAGAACACGTCCTGGGGAAGCTCCGTGAGCCTGTTGCCGTCCAGAAACAGCTCTTGCAGGCTGCCCAGGCCCCCAAAGGCCAGAGGCGGGAGCGTGGCCAAGAAGTTGTCGCTCAGCTTCAGGGTCTGGAGGCTGGCCAGGGGAGCCAGGAGCTGCTCAGAGATCTGCCCCAGGAGGTTCTGGGCAAGGTTGAGGAGGCGCAGAGCCTCAAGGGGCTGGAAGACCGCCGGGGGCAGCGTCTGCAGCTGGTTACCTTGCAGGTGAAGGGACTTCAAGGTGTCCAGGCCCTGGAAGAGGTCGGCTGGCAGGGCTTTGAGAGTGTCGAAGTTGAGCGTGAGTTTGCAGAGTGTGGTCAGATTCCTGAAGGCCCCATCCTGAAGACCCACCAGGGGGCTGCCTGTGATCTCCAGATCCTCCAGCCCCGGCAGCCCGCCAAAGGCCTCTGCCTGCAGAGACTGAATCTTAGTGTTGAGGAAGACCACCTTGGACAAGCCGCTGGCATTGCTGAAGGCCCAGGACCTCAGGGTCAGCATCGAGGTCTCCACAAAGATGATCTCGGTGGCATTCTTGGGGATGCCCCGAGGTACGTCATCCATGTCCTCAGCGGTGCACACCACCTCCCGATTGAAGCAGTCACAGCCCACAGGGCAGGCCTGGGTCAGCCTGGCCAGGAGCAGCAGGGAGAGGCCCAGCAGGAAGGCCCCGGGGAGCATCATCGTGCTGAGGAAGGAAGAAAATACGGGTGTGGGTGTGCCTCGAAACTCTGAGGTTCCTCTTGTCCTGACTCAGTGGTGCCAGGCCTAATGCTAAAGCCTAAAGTGTGCACGCTCAAGGGCTAATGGCACTCCCACTGCGGGCCACCAGCATCTGTCCACAGGGTCTGCCCCCTTCAGAATGAGGCCACGCTTCTTCCACTTTCTTTCTTGGTATCCCAAGGCCAGGCACACAGTAAGTGCTTAATAAATGTTTGTTGTCAGACCATCTCCTCCTACAAAGCCCGGGCTGAGGTCAACAACATGTCATTATCCCCATGTTACAGAGAAGCTGCAATTCAGACCTGGTAACCGCCCAGCCCACTGCCCCAGGACCAGCAAAGACAGAGCTGGAGTGCATCATCTGCCCTCAGGACCCAAAGTCTCCTTCCCCAGCTCTCCCCGCCCGAAGGAAGGGACCAAGCATTGATTAAAGGCTCTGTCAATGTTTAGGCCAGAGGAGAGCAGACTCCGGAGGGCATGAGAAGTGCGTTCAAGTGCGGCTGAGGGATGAGGCTTGTTCTCCATGTTCTTGGGGGAAGAACCAGGAACAGCAAAGTGGGAAGGGGCAAAGGGAGTAGAAAAGAGCCCAGTCTAGGTTGCCTGTCGGGGAAAGCCCCCTCACCAGCAGGGCTGACTCAGAGTGCGTTGGGATGCCTTGGGAGGGGGTGGGCTCCTCCCTAATGAGGGTCCAGGCAAGGGCTGGAGGACCATTATTGAGAATGATGGCAGGAGGTGTGGCCCAGCGCAGCGGGCAGAGCCCTGTTTCTGAAGGCAGAGACCCTGAGTTCAAATTCCACCTCTGACACCACCCTGATGGTGCAGGTCCTCTAAGGCCGCTGAGGATCCTTCCCAGCTCCAAGCCTGGGATCCTATCATTCTGAAGTCCCTTCACTTCTGGGATTTTGCATTTAATCAGCCCTAAATAAACCCCAGGACAGCAGGGGCTCTGTCTTCATCTTTCCTAACTTCTTAAGCAATGATGGCGCTGTGGATAGAGCCCCAGGCCTGGAATCAGGAAGACCTAAGTTCAAATCCAGCCTTAGACACTTACTAGCTGTGTGACCCTGGGCAGGTCACTTCACCTCTGTCTGCCTCAGTTTCCTCATCTGTAAAATGGGGATGATGATAACACCTACCTCCCAGGGTTGTTGTGAGGATCAAATGAGATAATATTGTAAAGCAACTGGTAGAGTACCTGGCACATAGTATGTGTATAATAAACACTTATTCTCATCTTTTATTTAGCAAATTCAACTCCACAAACATGAAGCACCTACTGTATACAAGCTTTTGTGCTAAGAATTCAACAGAACCAGAACCAAAGCCTGCCCCCGAGCAGCTTCCAGTCTAGTGGGGGACACAGGGCATGTGCCCAGAAGGTAAATACTGGCAAAGGGAGCCAGAGACCCAGGAGGAAACCAGACCAGTTCTCCTGGAACACGAGAGGCAGGAGAGAAGTCAACGTGAGCGAGTGGGCCGTGCTGCCTGCCCTCGAGGATTCTGGGGCCTAGGAAGACTGCAAAGACGCACTTTTCCCCTCCTCCTCCTCCTCTCCTAATTCCAACCAGTTCCTCTTCCTCTCCACTTCACCTCTCCAACTCAGCCACTCCTCGGCTGGGAGCTCGGCCCTGTCTGACCCCTGCCCAGCTCCCTGCCTGGTCCCCCAAGAGACCTGATGCCCTGGCCATCTGTACACAGCCCTTGGAAGGAAGCATCGTTTTTTACAAATGAGAAAACTGAGGCTTTGTGCCCAAGGTCACAAAGCTAGCAAGGACTGGAACTGCTACTAAAATAGGAACAGTGATGATTTGCATAGTTTTCAGGTTCCCAAAGTGCTTTACAAATATTCTCTCCTTTGTTATCACAGCGGTCTGGTGAGAGATGCTACGATTGTCATTGTCATACAGATGAGGAAACTGAGGCAAACAAAAGTTATGTGACTTGTCCAAGGTCTAGTAAGCATCTGAGGCTGGATTTGAACTCAGAGCTTCCTGACTCCAGTCTCTGTGGTCTATCCACCGCGTCTATCTACCCTGCTCCCAGCCAGGCAAGCCCCAATTACTTGTCTCCTCACCCTCAATTCACCTTGCAAAATATCCCCTCTGTCTGCCCTTCAGCCTCTCTCAGGCCACCCCTGGCATGCCCTCTTTTCTTACCTCCCCTTACCCAGTCCTTTGCCAACCTTAAGGAACCACTCTCATACCATTTCTTACTCCCATCTCACCATTGGGACAGTGTCTCCAGCCTTAGCTACTCTGTGAAATTTGTCCCAACAGATTGAAAAGGTCTTCCCAAGCCTCCCACCATCCCACAGGATGGTGGTGGCCAGGATCCTTCATCTGGTACCAAATGCCAGAGAGGAAGAAACAGAGGAAGAGATACGGACAGAGACAGAAAGACAGAAACATTGAGAGAAGGGGGGGAGGCAGAAACAGAGGGGAGAAGAAAAGAGGGAGAGAGAGAGAGAGAAAAACAGAGACAGAGAGGGAGGGAGACAGACAGAGAAAGAAAGAAGGAGATGGAGACAGAAAGATAGAGGAAGAGAAGGGGGAGAGAGGGAGAAACAGAAGGAAGAAGAAGAGAGGACGACAGAGAGAGAGAGGCAGAAAGAGACACAAAGAAAGGGAGGTACAGAGGGAGACAGAGACAGAAAGACAGATTGAGAAGGAGAAGGGGGAGAGAGGGAGAAACAGAGGGAGAAGGAGAGAGGGAAGGAGGGAGGAGGGAAAGAGGAAGGGAGGGAGAGAGACAGAGAAACAGAGGGGGAGAGGGGGAGAAACAGGGGAGAGGGAAAGAGGGAGCCAGAGATAGACAGGAAGACAGAGACAGAGGGAGAGAGAGAGAAGAGGGAGGAAGAGAGACAGAGACAGACAGAAACAGATAGAGCAAGAGGGGGAGGGAGAAAGGGAGAGAGAGAGAGAGAGAGGAGGAGAAAGTGAGATAGAGTCAGAAAGGAAGAGAGAGACAGAGAGAACATTTCCCAGAGCTCCTAGTTTGAACCTGAGTGAGAGGCTCACCATGCCTAGCCCTGAAAGCCCCTTCTGGTCCCATGTGCTTTGGGGCAGATGCAGGGGGCCCTCAAGGGGCACGACCCCACAGCCCCCAGAGGGGCCAGACACTGACACCTATCTCGCCTCTTAAACTACAAGTTACAGTCGGTCACAAAAACATTTTCCAAAAGCATTTCACTTCAGGCTAAGTCCCCCAAGTTTGGCCAGTAGCTCTGAAAAGGTTTCTCCATCCAAGGATCCAAAGGTGGCCTTTTGTCCCCCAGCCTGCACTGACTCAGAAGCCCACCACCGTGCCAGCCCCCATGCAGGGAAGAAGACTCTGCCATGTGGCTTCCGAGAAAGGGAATGGTCCTAGATATGTTTGAGGACACAGGAAACCAGATTAGATGGTGAGGCAACAGAGCACCGGATTTGGAGTACAAGGACCCGGGTTCAGATCCTGACTTTGCTGTGCGACCTCAGCCACATCACTTTACTTCTCTGGGCTTCAGTGATAGCTAAGGTCCCTTCCAGTTCTAGATCTATGGTCCTCAGTGATGGCAGAACTGCGGGTGGAGGCAGGAGACTGAGGGCTGATGCCCATAATCTGAGAGAAGACAGTAGGAGCCTGGAGAGGGGAGCACCAGGAGGATGGTTTCCTGGGTGTGGCGAGCTCCCTGTCAGAAGAATGTTGGATCTGTACTGAAGCCTGGCCTCGTGGCAGGTAAGGAAGGAATGAGCCACGAGGCCAGATTCCTCCCCTCAGACTGTTTTCTTGTTCCTTCCTTCCTATTCAGGAGAAGCTTATAATTTCCCAGTGAGACAGAAGCCAAGGGCCTCCCCCGAGACATCCCACCCCAGAACGCAGCAGCCCACCTTCTAGAAGGGCCACCAAGGATTCTGAGGGAGAGGGAGCAAGGGAGGAATGGGGCCCTTCCCAGCCAAGGGAATGCTAGGGGTGGCTGAGGGCCAAGCCTTCAGGGCACAGCCAGAAATCCGCCTGGTTCTCATTTGAAGTGATGGTCTGTACATTTTTTTGCAAAAACCAGCAAAAGAATCTGTTTGAGTCAAGCCCGCAAAACATTGCATGTTCTCATCAAGGCAAGGCGAGGCAGGGCAGGCGACATTGCTGTCTGCTGCCTGGAAACATCTTTGCAGGACCCCAGCCGGCCTAGCACCCAGGTCTCCAAGCACCTGGGGAGCCCCAAGAGAGAGTCGGGGGAGACCTGCTCAGCTTCCCTCCTTCCAGGCCCCTTGTCTTGGAACTGGCTCAGGAGGCAGCACCCACTCCCCGTACACTCCCACGATGCTCCCTGTACGTCTGTCGCTCAGCAAGACCTCAGTCACCTGCCACGTGAGCCTGAGGAGGCCTCTCTTTGGGCCTCAGCTTCCCTTCCTGTCAAGCTGGGATGATAACCCCGTCTCTGCCTGGAAGGAGGGAACAGGGAAAGGATCAGAGTGAACCTGGCAAAGGTTTTGAGCTTCCTAGAGAAAGAAACTCAGTTGTTTAAGAACCGGCTGGTGTCCTAGAGCTAACACTGGAAGGATTCGAGTCCAGGCATCTGCCTGCTCCCCAGGCTTAGCTGATGGGTCTTCCTCCAGCCCACTGCCCTCCGGCCTCCCCCACTGTGCATCCTGGGATCCTCCCTCTCTGAGGCACCCCAGCACATCAGGGCTCACAAAGATGGAGGTGATTCCTATAAATGTGCACTGAGGAAGCCGACAGCTCCATGAGGCTCAGAGCAACCAGAGCCCTTCCCTTCCCCAGCCCTTCAGCCTCGGGCCAGCAAACACTCTTCCCCAACACCCTATACTTAGGACCGGGTCGGGTAGGCCCAGCAAGGGCCAGGACACACCCCTGGGTGCACACTCATTGGACAGGACTCAACAGACAGGACAGGACAAGACAGAGCAAGGAGAGGTGAGACATACCATGTGGGAAGGAGTCAGGCCAGGCAAGAACTGGGACCATGAGTTCTTCCTCCTTGTGACCAGGAAGCTAGGAACTGCATGTTCGTCAGCAAGTCAATGTTTACCAGCCCCTGTGCCAGCCCCCACGCCCGAGCCAAGAGCCACTGGGTCAATGATTCTAGTCCTAAACCTCAGGCACCACCCTGCACCCTTCTGGTGCTCCCTACGCATCCCTGGATCCAGGCGTGAGAGGAGGTACCTGAGCCAATGAGGCTTCAGCCCCTCCTGCCCGACCTCCAGGTGGACACCCAAGCACTCACAGTAACTAGGGCCCTGGGCTCCTTTCACTCGTTGCTCCTCCGAGGAGCCACCAGGAAAAATCACCTTCTCCTGTTCACCCCCACAGGGGCAGCCACTCCTAGGAGACAGGCTGGGGAGGAGCGGGCTCCAGACCTCCCAGGCCCTGGCTGGGCCCCAGTCTTGACTCCCTTTTTATTCCTGACTCTCTGATGACTCCTTTGGGAAAGTTCTGAAAGCCTGGCTCTGCCCAAGACGCCCAGCGAGCTGCTCAGCAGACCTCCTTCCCCCCCCAACACCCCCCCCACCCCGGTCTGTATACGGAGGCCCAGAGAGAGGCTTGCGCAAGGGCAGCCCGGAAAGCCAAGGAGGCATCTTCTGACTCCAGTGATCTTGTCACAGAGAAGCCAGCTGATCTATTTCTGGAGATGTGGAGAAAATAAAGGACAGAAAGAGCGTTGCCCCTCCCCATTTATTCCCCTTGCCTCCTTCCCAGGTCACTGTGTGGTGCCTCGCTCCCCGACAGCTCAGGGCGCAGCTGGGCAGGGGAAGGGAAGGAGGAAAGGGGGAGGGGACAGCTCCAGATTCCTCAGGTGCACTAAAGGAGCGTCAGGCCAGCCCAGGACAGTATCGGCCAACATCCCAACAGCAGGTTTCACAACATCACAGGACCTGGCCTGCAAAGGCAGCCTGAGAGGTCGGCTGATCCACCCCACTCCCGATGGAGAGGAGGACCCTGACACCAGAGAAGGAAGTGACCAGTAGGACCCGGACCGAGGATGCCAGCCCGTCCTCCAGCTCCAACCCTTCCAGTCTAGGGCATAAATCCACCCTGTTCTCTCCTCTGGGGTCTCTGGAGGGAGCCCCTTCCACCCCAGGCCACTTTGCACAAGTCTCTTGTGGGATTGAAGTGGGCAGAGCCCAGGTACCTCTCCTCATGTGTGACCTCTCCGCTTAGCATGGTGCTTAGCGTATGCAGTAGGTGCTTACTGAATGCTTATTGGCTGAGGGTAGCTGTGTCAGAGACTCTCCGACCCCGCAGGAAGGACCTGGGAATGGCTGGAGGGATCTTTCACTGCTCTGGTTTGTTGCCCCCTCGCAGATAATCCATCCTCCCTTCTGCCCCCAGTGTGCAGTCACCAGGTCCCTGCATGCCCTTGGTTCAAGGGACCAAAGAATAAATAGGCTTGAGTACATATAGGTCAGTGAAAAACAAACAAAACTCTTATCAGAGCAGTCCCCCCAGGGACACCCCTCCCCCAGCAGCCTGGAAATCCTCCCCATCATTTACCAGCAGCCCCTGGGTGGGATGGCCAAGTGCCCGGGCTGGACGCCTGCAGGGGCACCTCTTAGTCCGGGACTCTGGCTGTTGAGGCCACTCTTGGGCCACCAGTGCTGCAGCTTGGAACAGACACTTCAGAAAGGTGAATGGAATGGGCTACACTGGAGAGGATCCGGAGGGGCCACTAGGCTGGGGAAAGGCCTCGTGAGGATCAGCTGAAGGAGACAGGAGCTTAGCCTGCAGAAGGGGTGACTTGGAAACTCTCTTCAGTGTCTATCTCCAGGGCTCCTGTCCCGTGCAGGCCTGAGCCTGGTCTTCTCGGCCCACAACCACGACCAGAAGGCAAGCCGTAGAAAGGCTGCCTGAGCCTGAAAGCTGGCTAAGGGGACAGGGCTGCCCTGGGAGGTGGCTGGCCTTCTTTTCCCAGCAGATCTCCAAGCAGAGATTGGAGGACTAGCCTGGTGGCCTGTGGCAGAGGGGAGGGGACCAATGACCAGGTACAACCTGGGCTAACTGGTGACTGTGGTTCCCATCAGCTCTGAGACGCTGAGGGTCCATTGGCTGTCACCACTGGGAAATGGCCCAGTGTAAGAGTAGGGGAAAAAGCGTGGACTTGGGGGCCTGGGTCTCATCCTGCTGGGCATCTTCGCCCCTCGCATAACTCTGGGTGGCTCCTTGAGCCTCAGTTTCCACATTTGTAAAATGGGGGTGTAGCTGTTTGTCCTTCACATCACAGGGCGCCACCTTAACTTGCTTTGGATTGAAGTGAGGCAGAGTTGCCCAAAGGCATAGGCCCTGCTCTCCCTTCCAGAGTCCAGTGGCCATATGAAAGTCGAGAGGAATGGCGGCAGCCCAGGAGGACCTCGGTGTCTTCCATGTCTGAGCTCTCCACAGTGCCTGCTTCAGCCGCCTTCATGGCTGTTGGAACACGTTGTTCCCATCCTCCCATTCCACTGAGGGAAGTCTTCACGTGTTTGGGGGAGACACCCCTTAACTCACCGACGGGTTTGTGGCCTGTCTCTTCCCCTCAACCTGGATTAGCCCATCTGCTGAGACGGTTTTCTGGGCTGTGTTTGCTGCTCATGCTCCAGCTTCTTGAAGCCATGAGAGCTGGGTGGCAGCTGGACACCAAAGGTGGACCGACAGCCCTCACCCCAGAGGTGCCCATCCTCCTGAGGCCCGCAGACCCTGAAGTGGGGGCAATGCTCCATGCACTATCTTCCTCACAAGGAGGGGAGGTCCTGGCAGTGCCCCAGCAAAGGGGGCCGTTTCTAGGGGCCAGAGCCCTGCCCCTGCTGAACTTCTCCTTTGTGTTTTTCATTAAGTGTAGAAATGTGAGCCTTCTCTGTGCTTTACCTGGGCTGTGTCCTGTTTCCACTCTTGCACTCCATGGCTCAGAACCAGAGTCATGGAACCTCAGCCCCTCCAGGATGGAATGGACTTCAGAGGCCATCTAATTAAAGGCAGCTGGGTGGTACAGTGGGCAGAGCTCTGGGCCCAAGTTCAAATGTAGCCTCAGATACTTAGCACAGAATAATAGCAGCACCTACCTCACTCACAGGGTTGCTGTGAGAATGAAATGAGATCGTAAGTGTAAAGTGCTTAGCACAGTGTTAGAGAAATGCTCATTCCCTTCCCTTACTCCAACCTGTCTCTAAGTAGGGCTGGCCACGTGGAGAAAATGCAGGTGCCTTTCTCTGGCCATGGATCTCTAGGACATGGGAGAAAGAGATGGCCTGGGGAGCCAGAGGACAGTGCTGCAAGACTTAGTCTCTCCACCTCTCTCTGCCTCAGTTTCCTCGCCTGTAAAATGAGGACCTCTCCCAGAACTTACATTCTCTGAAGCTCCAGCCAGGCCTCCTGGCCTCTGTCTGACCACCCCCACCACCCCGACCAAGGTCTGTTTCTCCAAGGAGTCATAGACTGTCCTTCCAGGTCACACACACACACACACACACACACACACACACACACACCCCTTAGCCCCTGGTCAGAGGTATATTTACACCTGTGAAATCCAGCCCCAAAATGAATCCAAGCAACTCCATTCTGGATATATCCTTTATTATGTATCTACCACACCATATCTGACACCAGGAGAGTCTAGCAAAAGACACATCCCCAACCCCGCCCTCCAGAACACCCAGCTGAAGAATCCCTGAGGACCAGGAACTACTAGCAACCACAAGTGAGGGGAAGGCTAACTCCAGCCAACCGGGCTGAGCCAATGATTCTGAGGCCAGGAAGGGGCTGAAGGCTCTGAAGCATTCACTTGGACAAGCTGAGTACTGAGAATGGCTGAGAGGGTGAGCTGGGGGGAGCTGGACAGCTCCTCCCACCAACTTCCCAAGCATGCCCTTCCTGTCTGTCCTGAGATGCCCTGCTTGGATTCCCCCAGGAAAGGCAGAGGGAGTGGCTTGAGTTCTGAGGAGCCCCAGGGGTCTCTCCCAGCCTTCCACGACTTTGACACACCTGGAGCCCTGCCGAGGAGCCATGCTATCTGAGGTACAAGGAGATGTCTTCATGATCTCCTGGTGATCTGTGGACCCTGGACCCTGGCCACCCACATCTCAAAAGCCTGGAAAAACTTTTTTCAGGCCCAAGAAGAAGCAATCAGAACAGGGCCACTTTGGGGAATGCCTCTTTGCATGTCTTTATTCCAAAGCACATACTCTATGTTGATGACGTGACCTCATTGTGGTGAGGAGGGACCCTGGATTCTTGAAGGTTCTCCCAATGAGCTGACCTTAAGCTCTAGTGGGCCCTACTGACCAAGACAGAAGACCTTCAAGCCCTAGGCCTAGCCATGGACTTTGCATGTGCTCGCTAAGACCCAGCTGAGCTCATTCAGGAGTCCAATTGGAGGGAGGGCCCAGATTGATGAACTATTCAGGCCCCAAGAACTCATAAAACTGTCTACCAAGATGCCAAAGCATGGTGATCTGGGTCAGCTATCCCTGGAGTATTTCAAAGGAATAAGTACATGGAACCCAAGGATTCCCAGGACAACAGGGCTAGGCTGGTTTAGGACTGAGAACAGAGGACTGTCTATTCATGAAGCATTTCAGAATGAGGCAGGCACAAAGAGAGAAGAACCGATTCCATCTTTGCTGTTTCAGAGAGAGGGTGATGAGGTGCTGGGCCACGATAGACTCTCCCCACACCAACCAGACCACAGGCCAAAGGTGGTCAAAGTCCAACCCAGCTTCTTGCAGGGGGCTCCATCAGACTTTGCTCCAGCCAACAGATGGGATGGCCCCCTCACTCAGGGATTCATTTGAAGGTTGGAGACAATGATCTAGGTTTGCAAGTATTAAGGTGACCAGCTAACCAGGGCCTCCTCTCCTCCTTCCTCACCCCATGAGCAGAAGTCAATGCAGGGAGCTCCCCCTCCCAACTGTGGCCCCCCAGTGCCCTGCCAAGCCTTCATGCTATCCAAGGAGGCTCTGGTCCCCCAGCTCTGGCCTTTCATGTAGGACTGAAGGAAAGCCTTTTTAAGGGCACCATTCATTGAAGTCATTAAGTAAATAGCAACCCAAGAGGACAATAAAACATTAGACTTAAGATCCATCCCCCACCCTCTGGAGTTGTGGTCACAGAACTAGCTCTACCCCCTGCTATCTGTGTGATGGCAGGTCCTCAGTTTCCTCATTTATTCATGAGGTAGTCAGAGCACCCGCCTTCCTGTGTGGAGTCAATGTCAATGTGCTCTCAGAAACCAGAATGGGCCTTGGCCCACACCCATTCCCCAGTCAAGCAAGCTCAGAAGTGAAATCCACCCATGTGGGGAGAAGGAGCTTCCCACCAGGATGTGGGTCACCACCAGAGAGCAGCAGCAGCAGGACGAGGCAGGGATGTTGGAGCATGTGTCCGAATCCTGACTGCTTCTTGCTACTTTTGGCCAAAGGCATTTCATCTCCTCAGGCCTCAGTTTCCACAGCAGCAGAAAGAAGAGTGTGAACTCCATGGCCTCTCAGATGCCTTCTCTACGCCTGGAGTGCACAGGGGGCCAAACCAAGAGGGAGGGGGTAGAGTCACAACCAACCCAAAATGGGCAGGGCAAAGTCGGGCCCAGAAAGAGGCTGATGCAGACCTAGTGCTCTCCTGATACAGAGGAGAGGAAGCAGGCTTCCCTTGTTGTCCCCCTGACAGAATAGAACCTCCTAGAGGGCAGGGGCCATGCCATCCGGCTTTTGTACCAGCAGTGACTGGCCCAGGTCCTGGCATACAGCAGGCTGTCATCAAACCCTTCTTACTTAACTAATTGCTGTCTGGACGTCAGCATTTCTCTAGTTTCTTTGCTATCTGGACCTACTTTATGGAGAAAGATTGAAGCTGTAATGAGGGCTGCCGTGTGTCAGGGCGGCCTTGGGTGCCGACTCTGGGCTGCCCAGGGAGCTCTTACAAGTAGATTGGAGGTGATGCTGTAGCAGACCAAAGCGGCTCTGTTTCTTTGGGTCAGCTGCCATATTTGGAGTCAGTGCGGGCAAAGTTGTCAATTCGCTGCTGAGTTCAGCCTTGGCATAAGCAGAAGTGAAGGCTGGGAACCACAGAATTGGCAACTGAGCTACAGAATCTCATCTCTAAGCAACTTCACTTTCCTCAACCTAGAAATAAAAATTGAAAGCCATATAGCTGGGGACACCCCTTCTCTAAAAGGAAAGAGTGAGGCAGCAGGTGATATCAAGGAGGAGAAGGGTGCGGGCCAGGAGAGGAAAGGCAGTCCATGGGGGCCAGTGCTACCCCTGCTTCTCAGAAAGGCATCCTCACCCATCTCCACAGCCGGTAGCAGAGGCCCAGCCAACGCCTCAAAGGAGACACCTGCAAGGAGAGGAGGCCCTAGGATTCAGGGCTGGCGTGTACCTCGGCCCCTCGTGGCCCAGGACAGCAGACTTGGGCTTGGCCGAACACCATCCAGGGAACCAATGAGTAGCAGAGACAGGATTCGAACCCCGATGCTCAGCCACCAAAGGCGGCGTTTGGTTGCTTGGTTTCCCCTACTGCATTATGGTGCCTCTCCTCCGTGAATCAGGCATAGCAATGGTGCCCCAGACCTCCTGGCACTGCCACACCACAGCCCAGAAGCTGAAGGGGGACCTCAGAGAGCCCACTCCAACTGGCGATTGCCCATTTGGGCACAAATGGGCTGGTTTACACTTTTAAAGATTCGGAATGTTTCTTGGTTTTACTTTTCAAAAGATTGGGTTTGGGTTTTTTATCTTTTTTTTAAGAATTAAAAATGTTACACTTGTTTTTTTTGTTGTTTTTAAATCCTGGACCTGTATCCCAAGAAGAAAATTGTTCATGTTTCTACCTCCAGAAATTCTTCTCTTTGTGTGTGTGTGTGTGTTTTTATGTTTCCTTCTCTCCATCCTTCTGATGGAAGAGCTGGTGGACAGCTTTGATGTTATCAGATGCCCCACTTCTCTAAGAAGCAAATGCTGCCTGCCCAACAGTCAGGCACCATGAAAGGCAAATGAACTCTAGGTTAGGGCTTGCAAGGAGTCACAGCTGGACCTCAGAACTTTTGTGCCCAGGGCACAGTGGCCCTTGGCTGGGAAGGGCCAGAGACAGAAGCCCAGGGACCCTGGCAGGGGTCCCTGCACCATGTTAGCTTGGCAATACACAAGGCTAGGGGTGGGAGGAGCCAGAGAACACAAGGAAACAGCTTACCCCATCTTGCTATCGGGCAGTATCCCATTTTAACTAATTATTTTTGCTCACCAGGTGCTTGATTCTGAGGTTTTGGCCTGCTAAGGGACTAAAAGGGTTGTATTTTTGTCTTTATAGCATCCCCAATTCCAAGGCTGGCACAGAACTTGTGATTGATTGGTTGATTTCTGTCAGCAACAGCTAAATTCTACACCCTGGGCAGAGCTCCATCACCCCAGCCCAGTTGCATCTCAGGAGGGTGTGAGGGAGAGCTGATGTGGAGGACAGAGAGCAGAGGCAAAGCCACCACCACAAAAGAAAGAGTCCCTGCTTGGGGCTAGGAATGGAGGAGAGGCCAGAGGGGGGACCCCTTCATAGAACTATCTTCACTAAGCGTGCTGGGTTTTTCCTGCGGTCTATTGAGCAAGTGAGGGGTTCATAGCAAGTGGTCAGGGAAGTCATTCTTAATTTAGACCCTGGGAGAGGTTGGGGGAGGGACTTTCCACCTGTTACTTTGCTTTGGGGGGGGGATCTTGACATCTCAGGGAATTTGCGGGAGTGAAAGCCCCATCCCCAAAGCTGCTTCTGTCCCTTAGGGGAGAACAGACAAAACCGGAAGGCCTCAACCCGCCCCTCCCCCAACCCATCTTTCTCTCACGTGTGCAATGTAAAGCCTAGTTTAAAACGGCACACCCATTTCTGTGCCCGACGAAGGAGCCACGCTCATCAGGGGGCAAGAAAGAGGGCATTAAGCCTAGGCCGCTGGGCTGGCGGGGCGCTGGCTTTGCCCTTCAGGGCCCCCTCTGGCCAGAGCCCTTCCCAACGGGTCCCCAGCCCTCCTCAGCACTCGTTGGGCCCTTTCATCTGCATGAGCACCGCGTGGCTACGCTTTTTGCAGCAGCAGCAGCAGATGCAGGCCGCTAAGGAGCAGGCCAACGCGATGCAGCCGATGACGATGGCGGCGATGGCCAGGCCGCTCTGGGCGCGGGTCATGCCCCACACATCCCGTTCGCTTACGTCCTCCGTGGTGGTCAAGTCGGTCTGGTCCTCCTCCACGGTGGTGAACTCGGTTGTGTAGGAGACGGAGGTGGTGTCCGGGTACCGAGACGTATCTGAGTACTGGGGGGTGTCGGGGTACTGGGAAACAGAAGGGTAGCTCGGGCTGGACCCCGGCTGTACCCCAACGTTGACGTTGACCAGGACGATTGCCTGGCCCCGGACCTCGGCTGGGCTGGCGCACACCGGAAGGAGGTCCGAGCCGCCCAGCCTGGCTCTGTTAGTCAAGAGCCACACGCGCAGGGGTTCGATGCCCGCGTCACAGCGCCACGGGTTGTCCTGGAGCCGCACGTCGCACAGCTGGCCCAGGTGGTCGAAGATGCCCACGGGCAGGCTCTCCAGCTGGTTGTTCTGCAGCTGGAGGGTGGTGAGGCCGTTGACGCCGGCGAACAGGTTGCCAGGCAGGAAGCGGAGCCGGTTATTCTGCAGGGACACGTTCTGCAGGCTAACCAGGGCTCGGAAGACCTGGCCGTCGAGATTCTGCAGCGCGTTGCTGTGCAGGGAGAGCTCGCGCAGCGCGCCCAGGCCCCGGAAGGCGCCCGGCGCGATCGACTGCAGCTGGTTGCGGCTCAGCACGAGCACCTGCAGCTGGCCCAGCGGCTCGAAGGCGCCGTCGGGGATGTGCTGCAGCTGGTTGTCGTAGAGCCAGAGCTCCCGCAGGTGGGGCATGGGCCCGAACAGGCCGGGGGGCAGCTCCCGAAGCCCGTTGGCGAACAACGTGAGCCGGTTGAGGCGCGGCAGCAGCAGGAAGAGGCCTCGCGGCAGCGTCGCCAGCTGGTTGTTGGACAGGTAGAGCCTCTCCAGCTGCCCGTTGCCCCGGAAGAGGTCCGGCGCCAGGTGACGCAGCTGGTTCTGCTGCAGCGCCAGCTCCTGCAGGCTGCCCAGGCCGTCGAAGGTGCCCGCCGGAATGTCATTCAGCTGGTTCTCGGAGAGGCGCAGCACCTGCAGCTGGCCCAGCCTCTGGAAGAGGTGCGGCGAGAGGCGGCCCAGGTGGTTCTGGCCCAGGTTCAGCTTGACGAGGCCGGGTAGGTTGTCAAAGCAGCCGTCCGGTATGAGCTCCAGCCGGTTACCGTGCAGCTGCAGCTCCTTGAGGTTGCTGAAGGGCGCGAAGTGCGCGGGAGTGATGTGCAGCAGCTGGTTGCCCGACAGCAGCAGCGACTCGAGGTTGTTCAGGCCCTGGAACAGGCCGCCGGGCAGCGTCTGCAGCCGGTTGTTGGCCAGGCTCAGGTAGCGCAAGTTGCCCAGATGGCTGAAGGCCCCGGGCGCGATCTCCGAAAGCTCGTTCTTCTCGATGCGCAGAGCGATGAGGGCCGTTACGTTGAGAAAGGGCTGCGAGTTCAGCTCGCGGATATGGGTGTTGAGTATCTGCAGGCTCATCGAATCCCAGGGCAGGGGGCTGGGCACCACCAGGATCCGCGCTCCCACGCACTCCACCTGGGATGCCTTGGAGCACGTGCACTCGCTGGGGCAGGAGGAGGTGAGGCCCAGGGCCTGCAAGCCCACGGCCAAGAAGAGCACATAGCCCTTCAGTTCCATGGCACCTGCAGGGGCAGAGTGATGGGGAGTAGGGAGGGAGAGAGAGAGAGAGAGAGAGAGAGAGAGAGAGAGAGAGAGAGAGAGAGAAAGAAAACATTATTCACAGACCAGACCCAGCTGGTCAGCATCCTTCAGAGGCCAGACCAGCTTTCAAAGTCATATTTACACTCCCCACCTCCATCCCTACTCCTTCCCAGTACTGACCCTGAAAAAACCACCCAGAGTTTCAGAATAAAACAGAACAAAAGGGCCTGAAATTGGGAACCAATACAGTAAAGCTGAAAACATAGCCAAGAGGACACTGAGTCTGTGAGGACTCCCTGCTTCCTGTCGCTCCCTGGCCGGGTCTATTTCCCATATCACAGCCCAAAAGCATTCCTCACATGTGATTACTCCAAAACCTTCACTGGCTGCCCATTGCCTCCTGAGCAAAGGATGAAGCCCTGGCTCAAGCATTCAAGTCCATCTGCTGTCTGCCCCACCTAGCTGACCAGACTTCTTTGTGTGTTTGGCATTTCAACCAAACCGAACGACTTTTCATCTCCCTTTCTTGGCACTCTCTCCCACATTCATGCTTTTCCTCCCATCATCCCACCTGGAATGGGCTCCCTGACCCCTCCTCACTTGTAAAAAGTGTTCCCTCCTCCTTCAAATAAGTCAGAGCACTTTCCCAATCCTCTCTTTTGTTGTGTTACCCTAACTGCCCAACCCTAACCAGCTCTAAGTACCCCCAGCTGCTTCCCTCTGAGACCACCTTCCATTTATGCCTGATAGACCATATATGGGCCCAGCAATCTCCATGCTGTCTCCCCCTTCATATACGGGCACTTCATAAAGGCTTGTTGATTGACTGACTTCTGCCTCTTCTTCATGTCATTGTTTGAGACATCTAGGGGGCACCAAAGAAGCAAAGCCGATTTCTTCTAGTCTTGACTCTGACGCTAGCTAGCTAAAGGACTCTCAGCAATCCATTTCAATTTTCTAGGCCTCAGTTTCCTTATTTGTAAAATGAAGGAATTGGATTCTGTAATCCTTAAGGTGCCTTGTAGCTTTCACAAAAGCACTCCTCTATTATAACAACTGGAATTTTGCATTCCTGTCTTAAGACATTTAATCCTCCTGTTAACCCTGGTATGATGGCTTCATTATCTTTCAGAGGACTCAGGTCTGCACTGTCTCTTTGATAGGCAGCGGGGGTGTAACAGACAGAGAGCTCTCCTAACAGCTAGGAAGAGCTGGGTTTCGATCCTGTCTCTGACGTGTGCTGGATGGGTCCCTCTTAATGCCCCCCAGGACAACACTCAGAGAAGCAAATTGCAGAAACTGCCTCACAGGGATGAGATGACTTAACCCAGGATCCTACAGCAGAGGCTGGATTTGAATCCAGATCTCTCCTGACTTCCTGTCCAGGGCTTTCTGCACTATGTCTCAAGAAGATGGGGAGACTATGAATGCCTTTGACTTTTGTTTCCAATTAAACTCAGTTCAATAGACTTTCATTAAGCCCTTTTACTACTCTGGGCACTGGAGATACAAAGTTTAAAAAAGGGGGCCCTGCCCTCCCAGGGTTCACAGTCCAGTTGAGGCTATGACCCACATGTTAACAACCTTACCTAGAATAGTCCAAGTGCCTGGGCATGGCATGTCTAGCTGGAGAGGAAAGGAAGTCTTTGGAAAGAAGATGAACCCGAGCTAGGCTCCCAAGAAAGAGGAAGATTTCAGCCAAGGGAGACAGACAAGGTGTGCAAATACACTGTGGAGGGAAAGACCGGGACGGATCAGACAGTGATAAGGGGTGCAGTTCGGCTCTATCATAGAGGGCCAGAAGGAGAATGGCATGAGTAAGGGGGGGGGGGGACTTGAATCCCAAGGAAAGGAGTTGGTCAGTTATGCAGTGGGTAGTAAGAGCCCCTGACAGGTTTTGAACAAGGGAGTATGAGGGTCAGACCTGTGCTTTAGGAACATCACTCTGGCAGTGGGACAGATTAATGGGAGAATGGATACTAGAGACAAGGAGATCAGTGAACCACATTAGTAAAATACTGTAAGCCAAGAGGGCATGGGAGCCTGAAGCAGCAGGGTGGGCTGGTGAGCAGAAGGGAGATATAGTGAGGAAAGGAATTCAACAAGGCTCCAGACATTATGAGATGGAGGGCTGAGGCAAACGTAGAGTCCAAAACAACGCTATCAGTTCAGGCCTCGATGGCTGGAACATTAGAGATGCCATAAGAGCGGGGGCTTGGCATACTTGAGAGAGGGCTGAGTGTGCAGGCGGGAGACCTGGGTGTAGATTAGTCTTCTCTGTGGGTCTTTAAGCAAGGCTCAGTGGGCTGCTTGCCAAGAATGGGGGAGATACCTGCACAGGTATAGCTTAGGCTGGCTGCCTCTGAGGTGTCTGCCAAGTCATAGAGCCTGGGATTCTGCGGTCCTGACGCGAAACAATGTAAACCACAAGGTGACTGAGGGATTGTGAAGATAATCCAGTCATGGTCATGGGAGCTTTGGAGGGTAAAGAACTGAGGGATTAGGGTGTCTGCTTCATTGGAGTGAATATCGAAGTCCCTGAAGATGATAGAAGGGAATGGGTTGGAGAGAAAGCTGCTAAGCAAAGCGCCTACATCCCCAAAGAAGGTCTTGAAGGTCTGTAGATGGCAGTGACCAAGGACCTGGAGAGGAATTTCTAGCTGGATGTGTAGCTGAATGCCAAAAGAGGATAAATTACTGAATGATGGCAGCAGATGGAGGATTTGAGAGTAGCAGTAGAAAGAGAGGACTGTGCTCACCAGTTCCTCTGGCCCTGGGAGTAAAGGATGAGAGAGAAGAAGGCACCATCACGGGAGAAGATGGTGAAAGAAGCAACATCATCAGGAGAGGTTCTAGCCATCCAGCTGCTACCAGGAGAGGGAAGAAAAAAGAGACAGAGACAGAGAGAGATAGGGAGAAGGAAACGGACACAGAGAGGGAGGGAGGGAGAGAGGTGGACAGATTGACAAACAGGGACAGACAGAGATAGACAATGAGACAGAGGTAGAGAGAATGGGAGGAAAAGACTAGGGGTGGAGGGGAGGGAGAGAGGATTTTCCAAAGGAATGAAAGGAAACCAAAGAGAAGCCTGTCGAGTTTTGTTTCCTCTTTCTGGTGGTTCCTCCTATTGGTTCTAATTTTAACTTACAACTTCACTAATGCAAAAATATGTTTAATAGGAATGTAAATGTATAGCCTATATCAGATTGTGCACTGTCTTGGGGAAGGTGGTGAGGAGGAAGGGGGAGAAAAATTTTAAACTCAAAAGCATATGGAAGTGATTGTTGATAAATCAAAATAAATTAATATAAATAAATAAATGAATGGATGGATGGATGAATGAATAAATAAATAAATGAAATAAATAAATAAATAAGTGAGTGAATAGATAGATAGATAGATAGATAGATAGATAGATAGATAGATAGATAGATAGATAGATAAGAAAACAAAGAGAAAGAGGCCAGGACTGAGTTGGATGGAGGTGAGAGGGAGCAGGGAGAAGAAGGTTAACACCTGGTAGGTACCAGTTGAATCTGCTGATCTCACTAAGCTATTCATCAGAAAGAGGAGGGGCTGTATACAAAGGAATTAACCACTTCATGTTGCCCATTAGAAGCCATGGAAGGTCTAGCAATGGCCACATCTGCATCGTTGTGTGCCCTGAATCTGCATTCAAGATTCCTCCATCGGACACTGAGCTGGTCCAGGGCATTTGCCCTCCAGCCAGACCAGCTGCTACCTGTGGAACCACAGCTGATAGCCTAGTGGCTGGGTCCCCAAATCTCTTCAGGACTCTTGGCTTGATCCCAACTTCCAAACCACCCTCTCTCAGATTCTCTCTTGAGAAGTATCCAGGACTGGGCCACTTAGACCATTTAGACCAGGAGGCCCCCTGGTGTTCCTCCAGACTTACAGCCAGACCTCTTAGGTGACCCTCTGCCCCACCAGAGCTCCCCAGGCAGAGCTAAGTGCAGGAAAAATGATGAAGGAGCCTCCACAGAGATGACCAAACAGGAGTACAGGCTCCTGTCCTTAAGGGACTTGAGGGACCATGAGGGACAGAGAGGTTAGACTAGCTCTGCTTGGCCCCTGAGGGCAGAAAGAGGAGCCAAAACTGGGGGGCCTGGGGACATTTCAGAGCAGCAGGATTCCCCTCCCTATCAGTAAAATCCTTCCTAACATCAGTGAGTCTGCACAAGGAGCTCCCTCTAGAGGTCACTGAGAGGCTTCATGAGGAGGCTAGAGGAGCAGGGGGTGGGCAGGCAGTGGTAAACAGTGGAAAGGTCTCAGGGTGTAGATGCAGAGAACCCGGGTTCACACTCTGGCCTTGCCACTTCCTTGGCAAATGCCCTCAGCTCTCTGGGCCTCAGCTGCTGCTTGGTGTGTAAACAGATGAACAGACTCAGACTCGATTCCACCTCTTCTTTTCTCTTCTTTAAGAGGAGGGAGGGATCAGTGATGAGCTGCAGATTGGCCTGCATGGCGGGAGGCCCTTCCACCTCAGATTCTGTATCTGTCGATGCCTGTGAGCACGTGAGGCTGGGTCACAAAGGCTGTGAGGTCATTGGTCCGGAGGTCCCAGCTGCTGCCGGTCACTGAGGACTGACCCAGCCGACTCTCCTCACAGGAGCTTCCTTGTCTGACCAAGGAGAGGAGGTGGTCCAGCCTCTCACATTCTGCCATCCTCTGCCCCATGTCACTCTTGGTCGCTTCCTTTTCTGAATTGAGCCGTCCTTATTCGCAATGAGCTCCCGGACTTCCTTCAGCCCCACAGACATCCCGCCCTTGGCAGACACTTCTCCTTAGTGTGGCTGGGCTCCAGGGCCTATGGTGGTCTCCCACAAAAGCAGTGGTTTCCTGTTTTCCATCAAGGAAAAATCAATCCACTGCCACTCCTGGCAAGGTCTGCTCAAATCATCCCTCAAACCCTGCAGCTTCAGACTCAAGTTCTCAGTGACTAGAGAAGTGACAAACATGAGCCCAGTCCCAGCAGTCAGGGAATGAAGGGTCTCCAGAGGCCGCCATTTGCCAAAGCAGTTTAGCCCTGCAGAGAAAGCCCTGCCGAGGTCCATCTCTACATGGGCCCCTTCACTTGTCAGCCAGTGCCCCAGTCTCCTGGGTGCCACCCTCCTGGGTGCCCTTCCTGGTGGCTCAATAATACACGCTAGCCAAGGGCTGCTTGGCTGCCAGTGGGGCAGATGCCAGTTAAAGGCCTTCCAGGCTGCATTAATTATACCCTCCCCACCAGTGGCATTGCTGCGTCCTCAATAACTTTGGTGACTCGACCCAGCTTCCCAAGTGGAGAAGCCAAGCGTCCATCCCTCAGCGTCCACAGGCTGGGTCATCCACTGCCGCAGGCTGGACAGGTGGTCCCCTGGGTGTTGTTCGATGCCCTGCAACGCCCTCCCTTCTCCCAGGCTAGAAGCTTGGTCTTGGGCACCAGCCAGAGGAGCCCCATGCATGACTCACAGAAGAACACATAATTAGCTGAGAAGCTGCGACTGTTTGTGGGTTGGTGGGTTGGAGATCTGTGTTTAATACTGTAGCTCTCAGCTTCCAACAGGGACGAAGGCTCCTCGGAGGAGGGCCAGGAGAAGAAGCTTTGGGCGGAACAAATGGTCCTGGCCAGGTGCCTCTGGACATGACCAGATGGGCCCACTCATCCCCATCCTGGCTCTAGTCAAGTCCCTTTTAACCCCTCCCCCAATCTGTGTCTCCCTGGAGCAGGCACTGAGCCTAGCCATTTGGAAAGGGAGGGGTCATCTCCCCAGAAGGACAGTTGGGGAGAAGGGGAAGAACCACTTTTACGTCCTGCGTCTCTTCCTCCTCCAGTGCCCCGTGGGCCTCCGCACCCTCGGGTGCCCTTGGAACAGGCTGATTATCAGCCAGCTGCCCGAAGAAGCCTCGCTGGCCTTCAGGAATCAGCTCAGGGCCTTCCCTGGCCCTCCAAAACCCCTCCCCAGGTGGGCCATGCTTCTATTCACTCACCCACGAGTGCGGTCGCCCCTTAGTAGGATGTGAGTAGGGTGATTGATCTGAATTTGGGAGCCAGGGTGAGGCTCCCTGCCCTCCAGGTGAAGGGCACCAAGGGTTCAGACCCGCCGTAGCACCATCAGGAGTAACACCCTGCTTGGCTGACGCTCATCTGGGCACTGACATGCTAGGCTGCTCATTCCTCTTTCCAGCTGAAGACAAAGACCCATAGACTCTCTTGTAGCTGGAAGGCACGGATGAGGAAAACAAGGCCCAGAGTGCCAACCTCACCCCGTGGCAAAGTTAGGGTCTCTGAAAGCACGTAGGGGTGTGGCAGTACTGGGGAGGGGAACCATGAGAGGCAGGGCCCGGATGTGGGAGGAGGAGACGTTCTGACCACACTTTCCTGCAGTGTTTTGTTCTTAGTGTCTAGGCTTCTCCGGATGTCTTCCCCACCTCAAGACCACCTTGTCACATTGCCCCAAAGACAGCATCCTGAAGGGGCTGGTAGATCCTGACTGGCTCTAGCTTTTGGACTATGTGATGGCACAGAGTGGGAGGAAGAGGCCAGAGGAGAAGGAAGTGGCTCTGTAGGCTAAGCTGGGCAAAGGCTTGGGGGTCATCCGGAGCTCATTCACCAGGGCTGCCATCACCACCCCATGGCGCGTCCTGCACACTCAAGCTCACCGAGCCCAGGGCCACTGACATCAAGATTTCCTTCTCTTTTGTTTCTTTTCCTCGGGGTATCTTTGCTTCTGTGTCTACCCAGACCTCTGTTGATCTGTCTGCCTGTATTTCTTTGCCTCTGTCTCTCTCTTTCTCTCTCTTTGAGGCAGCTATGTGGTACAATGGAGAGAGTGCAAGAGTCCTGCCTCAGACCCTTAGTAGCAGCGTGACCCTAGGCAAGCCACTTAACTTCTACTCTCAGTTTCTTCATCCTTAAAATGGGAATAATAAAGCGCCAAACTCACGGGTTGTGAGGATCATATGAGTTAACAAATGTTAACTTTATAAATATAAAGCACTTTACCATCCTTAAAGTGGGGCACAAATACCATTGTTTAGACATTTTTAGTCATGTCTGACTTTTCATGACTTTTTGGGAGGATTTTCTTGGCAGAGATACTGGAGGGGTTTGCCATTTCCTTCTCCAGCTCATTTCATAGAGCAGGAAATTGAGGCAAACAGTGTTAAGTAACTTGCCCAGGGTCACACAGCTAGTAAATGTCTGAGGCCAGATTTGAACTCATTATAAATACTAGTTATTATTATTTTATGTTTTTATCTTTGCCTAAAGATCTCTCTCCCCTTTTCTCCATTTCTGCCTATTTCTTTCTCTCTCTCTCTCTCTCTATCTCTCTCTCTCTCTCTCTCTCTCTCTCTCTCTCTCTCTCTCTCTTTCTCTCTCTCCTCTCTCTCTCACCTCTTTTCCTTTTTCTCTCTCTCCTTTCCCCCCTCTCCCTCTGTCTTTCTCTTTCTGTATTTGTGTCTCTATTCATCTCTGTCTTTTGTGTTTCTGTCTCTGTCTCTGTCTATCTCTAGCTATCCCTCCTTCTTCCCTCTATCCCTCCCTTCTGAACTCTCTAGAGAAAAGGTTTGACTGCGGCTTTGGGTAGAAATCTGTGCAGACATACAATTAACTTAGCAAAAGAGCTTGGGGAAGAAAGACTTTCAGGCATTTCCCGGCAAGGCAAGGAGAAGGATTGAAATAAAGTTTTCCAGAAGAAGCTCCTGACCTACCCAGCTGATGGCGCCTCAGGGCCCCACGACCCCTCAGTGAGGCTGAAACAGAACTAGACTTGGCCAGAGCTTATGAGGACAGCTTCCTGACCTTGTACCCCAAAGTCCCAGGGCAACCCATGGAGCTGGAGGATGTAGAGACCTCAGAAGAGGAGTGGACTGCCACCAGCAGCCTGGCTCCCAGTCCTTGAGCTCTTTCTGGGAAAGCAGGCGCCAGCCAGGAGCCATTTCCAGCTCCTCCCTTGCCTAGCCTTGTCCCTTGAGGTCTGTTGTTCCTGGCCTCACGAGCCATCTCTCTCCTCTTTTCGGTACCTCTCAGGGCTCCTTGGTTCTCTCCTTTCCTCTTGCTTCTCCAGTGGCTGATGAGCTCAGCTCACCTTTCCCTCCAGCCCCTATTAAAGGCTCTGCAGCCTCCCCATCCTCGGGGCTGAGCACCCTCCCCTCCTCTCAGACCTCAGTACAAGCTCATTCCCTGGCTCCACGGGTTCCAGGTCACAAAGCAGAAGCCACAGCAATTCAAGAAGGTCATTTCAAAGGGAATGATCTGCCACTGAAACCACAGATTGACCTGAGTATGAAGGATGACTAGCTCTCCATGAACATTTCAGGTGAGTGCAGAGGGGGTGACCCATAAAGCCCCAGCAACTGGCCCTGGGTCTGTAAGCAAAAGAGCGGGAGCCCAAGCTGAGAAGGAGGCATCTAATGCAGGAGATGAAGCTCATTCCTAGCAGGATGTTCTTACTCTGCTGGTCTCTAAGGCCACCACAGAGAATGCCTAGGCACTGAGCTATGCCACTTGGCTCAGGATGGCGGCATGAGAAATTGGGGAATAGCATCTCCCACTTGACACACAAAAAGAAGTCTGACTCACACTGTAGAACCAAAGTAAAACTGGGCTGAAAGAACCCAATCCTGAGGCTGTGGCAAGGAAGGAAGGTGCCCGGGTTCCTCCTCTGTCGAATGAGGGGTTCAGACTTGGGCTCTGACTACACTCTATGGTCTGTATTTTAAGGTCCCTCCTAGTTCTGACATTCTTCCTTCTATACTCTCTAATGCCTTCCAATTCTGGCATTCTCTGTTTCGTGTTCTAAGACCTTTCATAAGTATGATATTCTAGGCTCTATGTTCCATATTTTAAGCTCTCATCTTCTGTGTTTTCTGTTCTAAAAAACCCCCAGTGGTTGTAAATACAGGCAGAGTGATTTTCAACAGTTCCTAAGCAGAAAGAATGAAAAAATTCTGTCCACTTGAAGAAAGAACTGTCTCTCCCCTCCAGACACAAAAGTAAAGACCATGGATATTTGAGGAGATTTTTGAAAGCCTTCTTCTCCATCCAAATTGTCTCATCTTTCCCCAAATACTGCCCTGAGACTCCATCATTGAATGATAGAGGAGAGTTCTGGCAGGAAAAAGTAAATGAAGACCCCAATCCAGAGGAAAATCCTGGATTTCCGCTCAGGTCTCTAGAGATGCCCAGCTCAAAGCAGAGAATTTACCCAGATTTACTACTCTAAGCTCAAAAACATTCAACAAGGAAGCAGCCCAGGACCTGGCCTCTGCCCACCTTGGATAGCTTCAGAACCATGCACTCATTGTCCCAGCTCTTCTGCCAAAGAATCCTGGGGTAATTTGGAGCACCTCCCCAACAAGACAAAGACTCCCCACCGGGGGTCGTTCAGAGCTAGATTGTCCATGAGGGAGAGAAGCAGAGACAAAAGGGAGGGGAGAACAGGAGGATATTCAAGGCTTCCCCAAGCCAGCACTGGCCGCCTCCCAAGTGGCTGCTCTGGGCCGGCTGATTGGGGAGTTCAAGGCACTACTTACCAACTCCTCCTCTGGGGCAGCTGCTGAGAAGAGGCAGTCCAGAGAAGATGTGGGATGGCTCAGTGCTGCTTCATGAGTGTGGGGAAGTTGGGTCGTCCCCCTATTTAAACGGTCCAAAGCAATGAATCAGCAGAGGGGCAGTGTCAGAGGTTAGGAGAGCAGGCGTGTGCTGGGAGCCAGGGGGAGCTCCCAGCCTGGGCTGCTCCCTACCTCTGCCAACTTGGCTGTCTGGTGGGGGGCTGTCCAATGGCACCAAGAAGCACTCCCCCTTCTCCCTTCTCCTTTGTGTCTTCATGTCTTCCTCCCTCCTTCCCTCCCCACCTTTCCTAACTTCTTTTCTTTTCTCTTCTCTTCCTTCTCTTCCTCTCCCTTTTTTCTTTCTTTCCTTCTCTCTTTATTCTTTCTTGTTCTCCAATCCTTTCTTTTTTCTTTCCTTTTCTTTCTTTATCTTTCTTGCCTTCTCTCCTCTTTTCACCCTCCTGTGCATCCCTTAGGATCAAAGATCTTCTAGAAGTTTAAGTGTCCTTAATGGCCACTTCATCTAAGCCCTCATTTCAGCATGAAGCAGAGGTCCAGAGAGAAACAACTTGCTCAAGGTGATACTGAAAGTCAGAGGCAAAGCTTGAATTTGAACTCAGGTCTTCTCATTCCCAAATCCAGCTCTCTTTACACTACCTGTATGTCCCTGTTTGTCTTCCTTCCTTCCTTCCTCCTTTCCTTCCTTTCTTCTTTCTTTTTTCCTTTCTTCCTTTTTCACTTCTCCCTCACTCTCATAATTCCTCACCTAGATCAAGGCACTATCACCCATCGGGTCAGAGAAGAGCCTATCTATGTGCGCATACCTAAAGATGTGCACAGTCACACCTTCCCAAGAAAAGAGCCGTGCTGCATCCTTGCTTAGGAATTCCTAAGGGTCACAACCGATGGCCTTTTCTCAGTCCTCATCCATCTGACCTCTCTGCTGCCTTGGACGTTGTCAGTCCCCCTCCTCTCCTGGACACTCTCTTCTCTCTAGGCTTTCAGGACCCCCCTCCCCCTCTCCCTCTCCCTCTCTCTCTCTCTCTCCCCCCGTCCCCTTCCCCCTCCCCCTCTCCCTCTCCCTCTCCCTCTCTCTCTCCCCCATCCCCTCCCCCTCTCCCTCTCCCTCTCCCCCTTCCCCCTCCCTCTCCCTCTCTCTCTCTCCCCCATCCCCTTCCCTCTCCCTCTCTCTCTCTCCCTGTCCCCCTCCCCCTCCCCCTCCCTCTCTCTCTCTCCCCCATCCCCCCTCCCCTCTCCCTCTCCTCTCTCTCTCCCCCCTCCCCTCTCCCTCTCCCTCTCTCTCTCTCTCTCCCCCCTCCCCCTCCCCTCTCCCTCTCTCTCTCTCTCTCCCCCCTCCCCCTCTCCCTCTCTCTCTCTCTCTTTCTTTTCCCCTCCCTCCTGGTTCTTTCCTACCTCTCAGACAACTCCTCCTGAGTCCCTTGCTGGGTCCTCATCAGAGATGCAGCCCACAAGTTGAGCTCTGTCATGAGACTTCTTGTCTTCTCCCTCTAGATGACTTCACTTGATCATCACATCAGCTTCCGTGCGTTCATTT